GGGCCCTCGCTCCGCAGCCTCGGTGCGCTCCAGGGGGTGGTGCTGTCCGGCTGAAACATTGCCCTCCCGGTCCCTGCTCTGCACAGAAGTCCAGGCCTGGCCTCAGGGCAGGGTGTCCTGCAGCCTGACCATGCACATATGCTGAGGCCTTGACTCAGGGTCAGGCAGGTCGGGGTCACAAAGAAGGACACCCGACAGCTGGCCCAGGGACACACACGGGGGCCGCCTACCTTGGACTTGAAGCACGGCTCCCAGAGCAGCTCTGGGCACATGGGAACAGCAGCCCCAGGCTTCCCAGGACCCTCCTCCTCGCAACATGTCCCAGATGCAAGGTTGAAATCCCCACTTACCCTCCTGAGGCCCCACTGACTCAGCGTCTCGGGCTCCCAGGAGACGGATTTGGGGCACAAGTCTCCTGTTCACCAGTGAGCCGGGGGGCGGGGGGGTGCCCCAGCCTGGGGCTGAGCTGGGAGGACCCAGACATGCGCCTGTCTGCAGCCACCAGGGAGCCACTGGGCCTCTGCTGTCTCCGGGACAGCCCCTACCTGGGAGGGGACTCCTGGCCAGGACAGCAGGGCACTTATGAGATACATGGGGATGCTCCCCCACCCCCAGGTCACGTACAGAAAACTTGGGGCAGGGATCTGCAGAGGCTGAGCTCTGGGGCCCCAGGAAGAAAGGTACATGGGAGCGGAGCCAAGGGAGGACAGGGCACTTAGGGGATGTGGGGGCGGGGCCTAGGGAGGGCAAGCACTGATAGGGTCCTGGGGGCGGGGCCGGGCACTCACGGGGCACACGGCGAGGTTCTGCTCCCATTGTGCCATGCTCACACTCTCCTCCAGGCTGGTGCACTTCTTCAGGGACATGTCCCAACCGCAGTAGGGGTCGTGGGCCCCGACGCAGGCGCTGCAACAGGCACAGGGTCAGCCTCAGACCCACGGTCCCTGCCTGGCCCACGGCACAGACCCCGGTCCTGGCGGCATGCAGTGGAAGGACGTGTTTGACCAGCACTGTGATCTTGTGCTGTGCACGGCCTGGGAGGGCTCGCTGCCACCACCCCCCCACCCCCCCCAACGCGGCAGCTCAGAGGCAGTTCCGCCTCCACTTGGGTGTGGCAGCCTGCCAGCTGTGGCCGACCCTCAGCGACCCTGCAGGACAGGGCAGAACAGCTTCCTGGGGTTCCAAGAACATCACTCTGTAAGGGAGAAGGCCGCCATCTTTCCTTCTCCCGAGCCTGCATATGAGGGACAGGCTCACTAAACGTCTGAACAAACAGGCGGTCAGTTTTAAGCTGGTCATTTTGTGCAGCCGGGGAGGGATACCTAAATACCCAATGGCCCTTTACAGGAAGGTTCCACAGCCCTGCTGGACACAGAGGGTTGCCCTCCCCAAAGCCCATCCCCACCCCCAAGGCTCCAGGAGAGAAAAGACCGGGGCCTGATCACATGCATGAGGATCCCGGCTGAGGACCCTCTGGGACAGGTCTTGGCTGCCTGGATGGCACCCAACAACACAGCGCGTCTTTTTGTGACAGATGAATGTCCACCCACACCCTCCCTCGATGTCTTTTAAGTTCCAGTGTATTCATGCGGCCACATCATTTTAAAACATCCCATTCTCTCGACGTTGCTATTCTGAATCAATAGATTCCCCCTTTTATTTGCCATTCTAAACAAACAGCTGCTTGGATACAAGCAGTCACTTGATTCTACTGAGCTGCTTCCTGGAGGAAAATCCCACCAAGTGCGACCAATCACCCACCCCACACGGGAGGAGACACCCATCTGACCGCCACTTGGGGGCCAAAGCCTCTCAAGGTGGACACTCTTGCCCCTTTCTCTCGTGAGGCGGCTGGGGTGTGTGTGACCTTGACTCGCAGGGACACAGAGTGCAGCAGGGAGAAACACTGCCCGGCCCTGTGCTGTCCTCACGGCCATTACCAAGGTCAAGCCCCCAACATGCCCAAAGAACGTGGGACGCTGCCTTGCCATCCTGGCTTCTCACTGTACTTCTTCCAAGACAGGCAGGTCGGTTTTCTTGGTGGTCCCTGGTACTTTCAATATTCTCTGAGCACCACAATTCAAATACGCCGATTCTTGTCAGGGCAGCTGTAGTTCTCAAAGTAACATCCTTGCTCTTCAGCACATTGGAGGGCATCTTTTGTCGCACAGGTGCCTGGTGCGAGGGTTCATCTGAGCTCCTGGCTGCAGCTTCCTCGACCACTGATTGCAGCAGAGCCACGCAGGATGGATTTGCGGACTTCATCCCTTCCCCATTTACCATGACATTATCTACCGATCCCCTTGTGAGGATTTGGATCTTCTTTACATGGAGTCCTCGTCCACACTGAAGCTGCAGTCCTGGATCTTCAACAGCCAGTGCTTCAAGCCTCCTGGCTGTCGGCAGGCAAGGTTGTGTCACCGCGTCCCGCAGGCTGACACCAGTCTCCCTCCGGAGAGGAGCCTTGTGCTTCGCATGGAATCCAGCTTCTCTGACGATCTGCTCAGGATAGGGACTGACCAAGTGTGGTGAGAGGTGTAACCCTGACCCACAGCTCTCCTGCTTTTAAGCCAGGAGCATCCCCTTGTTCTGTTTGCACAACTGCCTCTTGGTCCATGCCCAAGTTCTAAATGAGCGCCCGCCCGCCCATGAAGTGTTCTGGAATTCCCATTCTTTTCGATGTTATCTCTAATCTGTTAATGACCTAACCGACCTAGTGCCTCTGCATAGGTGATTATAAGAAATAGATTAACCGCACGACACAAGTGTTCTTGTCTCCCCGCTAGTGTGTGCAGCCACCTCACCCCAAGTTGGTTGCCATGGGAACAGACAGAAACAAGAGGACAATTAGAAACAGCGGCTGCAGCTGAGGGGAGACCTCTGCAGACTTTAACCAGCTTCCCTCGAGGGGGGCCGGGAGCAGGTTTCAGGTTCTATGCTCATTTCACCTGAATCCTGTTGGTCGTGGTAGCTGTTGGGGTCAGTGGTAGCTACTGGGGTCTGGATGGCAAGACTTCACCTTACACACCCTGTGGACCTGTTGGCAGAAGAGGCTAGTCCCTGGAGAAGGACTTCTCCCTGGGTAAAGTAGAAGGGCAGCGGCAGAGAGGCACGATCTTTAAGGAGAAGGGCTGAAGGCACAGAACGAGTGTGCAAGCGGCGCAGGGCCGGGCCTCCTGTCGTGCAAAAGGTCGCTATGGGTTGGGACCAACTCGATGGCACCGAACCTAAGGTGACCAGATTGTAACACTGGTAAAGGGGACACCATTGATAAAACTCATATTCTGGCGAAATAGCCACATGGCAGCCGAAAACCATATACCCTAGCTTGTCGTGCATTCTTTCCAAAAATCGGGACTTTTTAAAAACGTCGTGGGACGCAGGAAAAATTGTTAAAAATTAGGACTGTCCCGCTAAAAGCGGGACGTCTGGTCACCTTAAGTCCTAACAACAGCCATTGATCCCAGTGTTGTTGCAGATGATGCCCACTGGAGACCCTGGGGGTGCTGGAAAGCGTCACGTGACTCTGAGAGCAGCAGGCGCTCTTTCTGGAGAGTGGCGCCCCCCAAAGTCGGTTACCCGCCTTATTGCGTTTGGCACCTCAGGGGGCTGAGGGAGCCCAATGCAAAGCAGTGACCCAGTAGAGGACCTGAGCCCTGGGACGGGACGTGGGTGAAGGCGCCTCGGAAGTCCATGCCAGAGAAAGCCTCGTCCACATGCAGAGAGGGAGAGAACTCACTAGGCATGCCAGGAGGATGCACCCTCATGATGTGTCCTGCATGGCCCGTCTATACAACACTCAACCCCACAAGCCCCAGCCATCCAGTGACTCAGACGCACAGGGAGGCTCTGGGCCAAGCAGACCTGCCCTGTGGCAGGTCCACAATTTCATGTCCACTGGATAAATAAGTGTAAGGGTGGAGTCTAGCCTGTCAATCGGGCCACAGCCTGATGGTGCTTCCTTGTGCGTGTGGCCTTCTCATGAGGATTCTGGGAACTTCCTCTCTTTCTCCTCAAAAGATAGGCCACACACTCTGCTTCATGTTCCTGCTGTTGGGACACTCAGAGAGCTGGAGGATCCACGTGGAGACCCACACCAGTGCTGAGATGCTTCCATGGCCATTGGATCCACAAGACATTTGTATCCACCTGCCTGTGATCTTCCGGGATTTTGCATCATTATATGTGCTGCATGAGTCTGATGAGGAACTAATGGGCTAATATCGGACTTATGGACTTGATCTGGACTGGGCTGGGCTGTTTTATTGATGCGTAATTACTCTTCTATATAAAGCTCTTTCCTATACATATATGAATGTCCCTAGATTTGTTTCCTTAGTCTGCCCGGTTTAACACATGCCCGTGGTTTCTGAGACTGTGGCCTTCACAGGAGCACACGGCCTCATCTTTCCTCCCAAGGAGCAGCCAGAGGATTCAAACCAGCGGCCTCATGGTCAGCAGCCTGACATTAACCACTGCATCACCAGGGCTCCTTAGAGAGAGGGGACAAGACTCGCCTGCCGGTGCCATGACTTCATTCTGACTCAGTCTGCAGAGCTGAAGGTTCCCAAGGCTGCAGGTCTTCACGGGCAGACGGCCTCATCTTCCAGCCTTGGTGTGTCGGGTGGGTTTGAACCAGGGAGCTTTCAGCCAGCAGTCGAGTGAGTGAACACGGCACCACTGGGCTCCTTGAAGTCCCCCCTCACTCCTGGACCCCTGAGGATGCATGTGTAGACACGAGCCTTCAGGGACCCTGTGGCCATTTCTGAGGGGGACTAGGGGTAGGATTGACAGTCTCGGAAGAGAGCTCCCTGACAAACCCGCAGCGATGCAGGCAGGGGGCCCTTTTGAGTCTCCAGCACAGGCCCTCCCAGGGCTTTGTGACCAGGGTGACTCACTAGAGAGCAGCTGCCGATGATGAGAGCAAGCCTAGGGGAGGGGCGAGCGTGCACCGATGAGGGTGACGGTCACAATGGCCTTCACGGTGTCAGCTTCATTCACAATCCCCACGGGGCGCTTCAACCGCAGGCGTTTATGTCCTTGGAGATCGACTCCTTCTGGGGACCCCTCACCTTGCGTATGGGGTCTGCCCTCAGTTGGTGTGTCCTGTGGTGCCCACCTCCCCATCGGTGCTCATTTTACAGCTCAGAAGTGATTAGGTTTGGAACCCAGCATCCTTTGTCTCGCCTGCTTGGACATGCTGTCAGGAGATTCTAGGCCCCAGAGAAGGGTCTTATGCTTGGAAAGAAAGGAAGACCCTCAACAAGATTGATCGACACAATGGCTGCAACAAGGGGCTGCACTACACCGACTGGGGGATGGTGCGGGCCTGGGCAACGCTTCGTGCTGTCGGACATGGGTTGCCATGGGTCAGAACCAACTCCGCCGTACTAACGACAGGAGCATATGTGGGTATGACTGTCTTAGCATGGGCTTTCTCTTCCTGTCAACAGTGACTGTCTTGGAAACCCACCGAGGTCACTGTGAGTCAGCATCGACTGGATGGCAGTGGGTTTGAGATGAGTACAAGGCTGTACGTGTAAGCATACCGGTGGCCACACCTGGCTGCGATGTGTAGATGCCAGTTCAGAGACGGCACGTCCAACAGAATGAAACACTGCCCACCCTGGCCATGCTCACACGTGTGGTGCTTGAGCCCGCAGTTGAGGCCACCGTGTCCACCCATCTCAAGAGTCTTCCTTGTCCACCAACCCTCTACGATGTCCCCCTCAAGGGACTGGTCCCTCTTAAAAGCACGTCAAGGTATGTGAGCCGTCTGGACACCCTCACATCCAAAGAGCATTCTAGCTGGACTTCGTTCAAGGCAGACCGGCGTGTTCTTCTGGCAGTCCGTGGTCCTACGACCTTCTTCCCCCAACCCACAACCCAGAGCATCGGTTCTTCTCGAGTCACTGTCCGGTTTTCACAGGCATGAGGTTACCAACATCCTCCAAGAGGTATCTTTGCACTCTAGCACTTGCTCTGATGCCATCCATCTTTTGGCTTCTTGAGACACTGAATGTCGAAGTAACTAAAGCGCAACCCTTGGCCACGCCAATCTCTCCTCAGTCATCACGATGCAAAGTGTTGGTCCAGTTGGGATGACGTCTGTCTTCCTGATGCTGAGGGCTAATCCACACCGAAGGCTGAAGTCTTTGATCTTCCTCATTACGTTCAAGTGCTCGCAGCTGTCCGCCGCCGAGGCTGTACCCTCTGCACACTGTACGTGGCTAATGACCCTGCCTCTGCCGCTGATGCTGAGTTCTTCTCCAGGTGCTCCCGCTGCTCTGATCCACTGCTCAGCACACAGAACGAGCAAGAAGGGGAAGCCCGCCACCCTGATGTCTACCTTTCCTGATTTCAAACCCATCGATTCCTGGAGCCTCGTTTGGGGCCAGTGCCTTCAGGGCAGCTCAGACTTCGTCCTTCAGCACCGCTGGCTCTTGCTCACATGCTGCCTCCGTAGGTGGTTTCACATCAGCCAGATCTTTCAGGTACAGGGCCCTGTGTCCCCCTTCCATTTTCTCTCGATGCTCCCGGGATCGGTCCATATTGCAGGACACACACTTCAGGGACATCAGTCAGTTCCTGCCGCATGTCCTGCTGGGGACGAAGGTCCACAAAGGAACCCGGGCACTTCTCTCTGAGCCCGTGTGACTGTCCCAGGGGATGTGGAGAACAAGATTCTGTCCTTTCAGGCAGGCAGGGCTCTGGGGTCGCCCCATTTCCATACTCATTTCTTTAATGGGCTATTAATGCTATTGGCTAGATGATAGCATGAGAGGCCAACCAAATGAAAAGTGGCCACACCACACAGAGTCCAGTCCACCCTTCTTTTACAGGTCCCGTCCCCCTGCGGTTCTAACGGGAACATGTGAGCGGTGTGACTGCTTCTTAAGGTCTTCAGTCCCCAGCTAGGCTTCTCTCTCCAACCAGCCCCGAACATCTCGGGCTTTTAGATGCGTCTTCGCGTGAAAGTCTGCTGCCCTACCCCCTTTGCCCTGCCCCCTCTTTGAAGCCACCATTCAGAGGTGATGAGGATTCACGCTACCCCAGTGGGAACTTCTGGTCTCAACTGATAACACCTGCGAAGATCCAGCCTCCCCACAAGGGCTGCAAGGCCAGCACATCTTTGGCGGGACAGGATGGAAATCGTAACACCCACCACTAGCCCCCAGTGCCTGGCCATGCTGGGCCCATCGGTCAACTGTGTCTTGGTTAATCGTATTAAGATGGTGACAGTCCCCTGGGGACGTCGTGAGCTCCATGCTGGGCTGTTAATCACAGGGTCAGCGGTTCCAAAGGACCAGCTGGGAGAGAGGTGAGACAGAAAGGTGAGACTTTCTGCTGCCATGCCTGGTGGCATCATGGATACAGGTGGGGCTGCGGAGTGCAAGGGCAGGGGTTGCAAACCACACGCTGCTTCCTCAGGAGAAAGACGGGGCTTTCTTAACTTAAGCGTTATCATCTGGGAAACCCACAGGGGCAGTTACTGTGCCCTGTGGGGTCCCCGCGTCAGCCCCAACTCGATGGCTGTCAGTTTGTTGACTTTTTGGTGGCACAGTGGAAGACGCCTGGACTGCTCACTGCAAGGTCGGCGCTTCAAATCCACCAGGCGGCCTGTGGGAGGAAGGTGATGCTGGGTGCTCCGGGAGAGATGTGTGGTCACAGATAGTGCGGGCGGTTTGACTTTATGGGCAGGGTCACTGCGTAGAGTCGCTCTGACTCACTGACCTTGGTGGTGGTGGAACTGGTGGTGGAACTCGCAAGGTTTCTGTGCACTTTGGGTCAGCAGGAGGGAGGAGACCCAGGAGGGGCCTGAGAAGGCCCTGGCTGAAGGCTTTCTTGGCTCAGAGGGAACAGGGGAGGGTCATGGCATTGTGGTGGTGGGGAGGCAGCTCCAGCCCCAGTGGCCTCCTCTGTGCACATGGACAAGCACATGAGGCAGATTGGAAGTGGGCAGAAGGAGACAGAGGTGAGGCCCCTGCTGGTGGAGACACAGGCCCCGTGGTCCTCCTGCCTGATGCCTCCATGGATCCCCTGGGATGTGTCCTCGCAGGGGCAGCTGCAGGACACGAAGCTGCCAGGACCCACAGATGCTAAGGGGCATGAGGAGGGTGGACTCTGGTTCCCAGACCAGTCAGCATCCACCTCAGTCTCTGTGCCCCTTCATGCGCCCTGTGCCCTGCCTATTCAGCTGCTTCCACACCCGAGGAGTGCGCGGGCGAACCCAGGTCCACCCCACACGCCCACATCTACAGGGGAGCACGCAGGGTCGCCACAGGCCAGACCCCAGTTCACCCCACCCTGCACCCTCTGCCCCAGAGTCAAGGGTCACCGCAGGCCAGACACGGGCCCTGACATCCACCCAAGGTGGCACCCTGGGCCTGGTGTTGGGGGCGGGAGTGGTGGGGCATGCAGAGCAAGGGTGGCAGCAATGCTCAGCTCTGGGCAGTGGGGCACAGGGCACTGACTCTGGGGCTGAACCCCTTGGGACAGCCATATCCACCATGAGTGTCCGAGGCACCTGCGCAGGCCCTGGCGGCACCACCCTTGATAGCCCACTGCTGGAGAGCCAACTGGCTGGGTGAACTGGGCCTCTGAAGGCCATTTCCCTCTGCGCCTGGGGCTGTGGGCCCTCGGGGCCGTGTGCAGCTCCCGTGGGGAGGGCGGGGCACCACAGGACAAAAGTGGCATTCGCTGCAAGGCTGGTGCCAAGGGAGAACAGCCTGCCAAGCTACCTCTGAGTCACAGCCCCGGACCCCTTGTGCACGGAGTCGGCTTGCCTGGAAATGACTCAGGGAGCCCCAATGTCCACCGGGGTTTCCACTGCATTCAGGAGGCCCAGGGAGGGCCTGCTCACCCATGGGGACGGGGTCCCATGCTCAACAGGGCTACCATTGCACAGTCAGGAGGTCCAGGGAGGACCTGCCCACCTAAGGGCCCCCCACACTCACTGGGGTTCCAATTACACAGTTAGGAGGCCCAGGGAGGGCCTTCCCACCCAGTGGCCTCCCACGCTCACTGGGGTTCCAACTGCAGGGTCTGGAGACCCAGGGAGGGCCTGCCCATCCAGGGGGCCCCCACATTCACTGGGATTCAAACTGCACAGTCAGGAGGCACAGGGAGGGCCTGCCCACCCAGGGGTCCCTCATGCACCAGGGTTCCCACTTCACAATCTGAAGGTCAGGGAGGGCCTGCCCACCCAGAGGAGCACCCCCAGACCTGCCTACCTGTGAGTGAGGTGCAGGTGGCACCTCCTGAGCGGCACCCTGGCCACGTGCCCATGCAGGCCCACGTAGAGGACACTCTGGCTGTGCAGGATGAGGAGGCTGCGCACAGGCTGGGGACGCCGCGCAGGCACCAGCTCCAGCTCCTCCAGGAGGCAGCTGCCCGCCGTGGGGCCCAGGGCCGCCCGCACCTTCTTGATGGTGCCCCGGTCTGCAAGGAGTGGGCAGGCGGTGAGGGACAGGGCTCACTGCCACCATCAGAAACAGCCAGGGGTGGGGTGTAAGGGTGGGGCTCACTGCTTCTAACAGGGCCACTCTTGGATGGTGGGGGAGCCCAGTGAATGAGGATTAGAACAGCATTTCCATGGTCTCCTCCCAGAAGGCCTTGCTTCAGACCCGAGGTCAGAGGGACCCCAACACACACACCATTCTTCAGACC